TGATGAGTAGCCAAAGAAAACAAGCAGTCACATACAGAGATTTACTTCAATCATATTCCTTCATCAATCTCACACCTCTTGTGACATCCTCAAGTTTGCATTTTACTGTCGCGTGCTACCCTAAGCCTTTCTGAGTCGGTACGCGGAACATTTTAGAACCGGGCTTGTGAAGCTGATCTGGGGCAACCTAACCGCCAAGGGTGCCTGAGCTACTGTAAGGTACGTACCGATCTAATGTGAGAACAACACCACCTGAATTGAAGAGACCCGTAGGTCCCGTCACAGCCTGGTTTGGTTTGGCCTGGCCCTGAACAGAACTGAATACGCCAAAACATCAATTCTTATTGGCAAACCCCTGCCACTCTCTACTTGTCCCATCGTTTCCTTCAGCATCGACAAACATCGCCAACTCGTATCATCATCAAACACCACGCGATTGATCATTTCGTATCTCGATTATATTCGCAAACCCTCAGCGCGTTTCATTGACCATATCTCTCGCCTGATCGCGCGTCCATCATAGCCTCCCTCGCAATGGACGAGTCCCCCGTGAAAACAGAGGGCGCCACTCGTCATCGCGCTGGATACAAATCATGGAAGAAGAAGTATAGAAAGATGCGCAGAGTGTTCGATCACAAGATGCATGATGGCGAGGAGTTGCACAAGCAAGAAGACAAGGCTGCTGCATTGGTCAAGCGCTTGGCTGTAGAGAATGAGTAGGCTATTTCCAGTTCATCAACTGTTTACCGGCAGACACGATACTGACCTGCTATCAATAGCCGCTTATTGGATCTATTACTCGAAATCAACAATTCTCCCCAAATTCCTCCCGAGAAACAAGTCGATGTATCCCTCGAGCCTCCATCCCAAGCCGATGCGCTTGTCCATCCCCTGGATGAAGAACATGAGCTACATAAAGACACACCCAAGAAGAAGCTTGAAGACCTCGTCAAGAGTGTACCGCATTCTTCATACACCAGCGCCAAGGAGACATTACCGCAAACCGTCAGCGACCTTAAGGCTGTCGATGGCGAAACCTATCCTGCCGATTTCTTATCTGCCGATGACATCGACAACTACATTTACGAAATCGATATGGCCCTCGACCCTGAGAATATGCTCCCTACACTCGCTCCCCGCGCTCATCCTGGCAACCATCATCAGTCACACCCACATCTTAAGAATCCTACAAGTGTGACAAATTGGCTGCGTAAACATGCCCCTAAGATTTTCCTTCAGGACGGAGAAGCACATGGAGACGCAGACGATGCTGAAGGTGGTCATACCGGCGGGCGCAAGACGCGTGGATCACGAGGTGAGCGCGGTGGAAGAGCCAGCACAAGGGGCAAGCGTGTCAGTGCTGCAGCTCGCTCAGCAGCAGCCGCGGATCGCGATGTGGACGCCAGCATGGACGAGGATCAGGAGCTTGCATCAACACCTGCTGTCAGGGGTAAGCGCAAGAGAAATGCAGAAGACGACACAGGATACAAGCCCCGTGGTTCATCAACGAGGCCAACGAAGAAGAAGCGTAAGAGCGAAGCAGCAGAAGGCACACCAAGCGCACGCAAGTCCAAGAAAGATAAGGAGGCTCCTCTAGCTTCTGCTGAATAGGCCCGGCATAGGGCTGATCAGATACGTCTGTATTCAGACGCAACCTTGCAATGAGAGGTGCTGTTCTTAGAGCGAGAGTAACCGCTCTCGACTGTATGGTCAAAACTTGCAAAATTGTATTACTACATATCGAAATCGAAGAACGGAACCCTACGGACAGAATCCGTATGTATGCGAAATCCCCGGCATCAGAATAGCATGCTTCAACAACCGCGGGTTTCCTTCCGGCCAACCGAGGCCATCTCGATCGGGTCAACCCGGGTCTACGGGTGTGTTTATCCTCTGTACTTGTCAGTCTTTGATGTCAGCCTTTTATGCGATCCTTTTCATATTTTTATATACACGTGCGGGCTTAAGCCGAGGCATTCCCCGCCACGGGGCTGCATACAGACGCTGAAGCTAGGAACACGCACATCTGTTTTCTTTGGAACGGGGGAAAATGGGAAATAGGGAGTTGGTTGTTGTTGTTGCTTTTCTGAAACAGGGAATTATTTTGGAGATTGGGTGTCGGTTACGCTAGCTACGGACAACTACCGAGGTTTGACAGCAAGCAGTATGACAACAAGAGGCGTCTGAAGCGCCATCTACCAAGAGCAGCTGCGCATTGATGTATCGTACATGTGAGAAGAGGTCCAGGGACATGTTTCAAGGTCCAATAGATTTGCTTTAAGCTCAATTTGAGCACATCTTATGACTCTATCACCCATTGACCCGCGACTAAAGAAGCACTAGGAGGAATGCACTATGGGGAACGAGTGGTCACAATGCGAAGGGCCGGGGAAGATCTAGGTGAAGAAAACTATAAAGCTGGGTATCCCATCTTGTCTATTTGCTAAGAACAAGCTTGCTTTCTACATGGCATCTGCTTTCCAATACTCGGTGGCATGATACATGCTGTCTCCTCTTCAAATCTTTGCTTTTACATATTCAGAAAACCCAACATCCTATCCAACCACAATGACGATGGAGGAATGCTTTTTCATAAGTCGTTAGCCAACTGCGTGTGTCTGTGCAGAAGGTTCCGGTTCATGGTTGCTCTTGACGATGTCAACTTCCTTTCTGTTGAGGAAGTGAGTGGCCAAGAGATCGCAAGAGGTGACGCTCTTGTGGTTCTCAAGACTGTGAGATGCTATTCAAGTTGTGACAACATATTCGACGCCGATTGTTTAAGAGTTCATAAAATAGTGGCTACTCTTTGCGGAGGCATAAGAGGCCAGAAAAGGGGAAGCGGAATTAGATGCTAAAGGGAGGCTGCGAAAAACGGCAGATGGCAATGCATTTACAGCTTCTCCTTGAGAGTTCGCTTGAGGCGGCGCTCAACGGCATCCATGTACTCGTTGGTGGTAACATAGTCCTTGCGCTCAGACTTGCCAGTGGCAAGGGCAAGATCCTTGGTCATGATACCGTCAATATCGACAGTGTCAATGCAAGCCTGCTCAAGGCTCTCAGCAAAGGCGACAACCTCAGGGGTGTCGTCGAGCTTGCCACGCTGGACGAGACCACGGGTCCAGGCGAAGATGGAGGCAATGGGGTTGGTGGAGGTCTCGTTGCCCTTCTGGTGCTCACGGTAGTGGCGAGTGACAGTACCGTGGGCAGCCTCAGACTCGAAAGTCTTGCCATCAGGGGTGATGAGAACGGAGGTCATGAGACCAAGAGAGCCGAAGCCCTGAGCGACAATGTCGGACTGGACATCACCGTCGTAGTCTGTAGATGTTAGGTCTCATGCGTTTCCAGTAGAAAGAGCCTGAACAAGTGTTCAGACCACAAGGATGGACTTACTCTTGAGGGCCATGATGTAGCCGCCGGAGCTCTTGATCATCTGGGCGACCATATCGTCAATGAGACGGTGCTCGTACCAGATCTTCTTGGCCTCGAAGTCCTTCTTGTAGGTGGACTCGTAGATCTCCTGGAAGATATCCTTGAATCGGCCATCGTACTTCTTGAGGATGGTGTTCTTGGTGCTCATGTAGAGAGGGAGCTCCTTGTCAAGAGCCAGCTTGAAGGATGCATGAGCGAAACCGGTGATGGACTCGTCGGTGTTGTACTGGGTCTGAGCGACACCGCCGCCGTTCTTGAACTGGAAGACCTCAATCTCTTGAGGCTGGCCACCCTCGGGGGTGTAAACCATAGAGAGCTTACCAGGGCCGGGGAGGACAGCGTCCTTCGCGCGGTACTGGTCACCAAAGGCGTGACGGCCAATGATGATGGGCTTCTTCCAGCCAGGAACAAGACGGGGAATGCGGGGGATGACAATGGGCTCACGGAAGACGGTACCACCAAGGGCATTTCGGATGGTTCCGTTGGGGGAAAGCCACACTGGACATGCAAGTTAGCCGAGTTCACTTTTGTTAAGCTGACTACTGCAGGTTTCATTCGCTTCTGCTGCTTGCTTGTTTCCCCTCATGTTGCTTTTCCTGCATGCCTCATGTATGCGGGGTTGCGATTGGCGGGGTGAACATCGAGGCGCAACGCGAACTAAGACAGGGTCGGAATGGGAATGAACTTACTCTGCTTCAGCTTGAACTCCTCGACACGAGCCTCATCGGGGGTGATGGTTGCACACTTGACACCGACGGAGTACTTCTTGATAGCCTCGGCGGCATCGATGGTGACCTGGTCGTTGGTCTCATCACGGTACTCAAGACCAAGGTCATAGTACTTCAGGTCGATGTCGAGGTAGGGAAGGATGAGCTTATCCTTGATGACCTGCCAGATGATGCGGGTCATCTCATCACCGTCGAGCTCGACGACGGGGTTCTTGACCTTGATCTTCTGGTGGGAAGCCATTGTGCGGACGGCGAAGGGAGAGATAGTTTGGATAGCACCGAAGGAAGCTCGGATAGGGCGGACGGCGGATGAACTAACAGCTACACGGCGCAGCGAAGACGAGAGAAGAGATCGCTGAACGGAAGAGGCGAAGACAGCGGCGGGCATGATGGGCGAAAAAAAAGAAGAGGAAGAAGCTGGGAGTTTATAAAAGAGGTATAAAAAGGGTCTGGGTACGGTAAGGCAGCAAGGTACGGGAACTGGACTCGGGAATCGTCGCCGGAAGTTTGGCTCGACTTGGGACTTTCCCTGAGTCGCTAGTCGTTACAAACTGCAAGTGCAAGTGCCCAGCGCGGGGTGTAATTGCAACACGGACGGGCAAGCGGTTGGTTTGGGGTCGGAAGTGGAGGTCGGAGGTCGGGTTCAGGAAGGTGCTTGGGGTGTGGTTTTGCACCTTCTAAACTTCAACCGAGGATAGGTTTTCGGTTGATGTGCGGCGTCCGAGAGGAAAACCGACGATGCGACGGGGGAAGGAGAATATGGGGTAGGTGTTGGGTAGGCGGGTGTGATGGATGCGTGGTTTCCCCCCAATGAGACGGGGTGAATTTGATCAAGAGGCGCCGCTAGTCGATTGGAAGCTGGGGGATTTCGTCAGGTGTTAGTTACAGATGCGCGCGTAAGCAAGAATGGGAAGAGGGGAAATGGTTTATGAGGCGATTCATGTTTTGAGTGTTTTCTTTTGCCTCTGGCCTCTTGAGGGGTGTGAGTTAGGAAATGTTTGTCCTGACAGGACCACGAGGGCTTGGGTGGTGCATCTTTAATTCAGCAGAAATAGAATGATCCAATCCGAGATCAGATCTATAGTATCTAGCTGCTAGAATCCTCAGATCAAGCGAATCTAGAAAAGGCATTGCGGTCTTCTAAATGCTCATGAGGAATATCGTTGGTCAATGACGATACAACTGTATCATGACACCTGTTGTGGCTGACAATTGACCACTGACAACGAGCGAAGCTAGCAACGACATGACATATAAAAACTGCACTTACAAGACTCGATTCGATCGAAACGTCGTTTTCTTCTGATGTTGGAGCTGTTGATGAGAAACAATGTTGATGATGTAGAGATGGGATTTCAGCCAAAATCGAGAGAGAGAAATAGGAAGGACAAAGGAACATTCAAATCCAATTCTTCCGACAACGGACTGTTCTCTTTTCCTTTTAGCCTTGTAGGGTCCAAGGCCGAAGACGGATGATGCGGTGCGGGATATCAAACGTGGCTGACATGATCTTTTTAGACAATCGCATGCTGTGATATGACAGGGGTCGAGTCTCCCTATCTAAAGTGTCTACATATGACGTTCTTGTCCAACATGAAGCTCAAATTGACCTCAGTTGACCATCTCACGATGATTTTCGAGAGTCTTTAGACCCCTCGTAGCTTCAATTACGTCCCCCCAACTCTCAGGGTGTGTCTCGAGTATTCATTTCCTCTTCCTGCCAGGTTCTTTTGGGGATGAGGCTCGGTACCTGACCGAGCTGGGGCACCGCATCAAAAGCTGCAAGCAGAGAGAAAAAATGCCCAGCCAGTCCCAGCCTCGACGGTTAACACTAGTGTCGATGGGTTCCGCACTTGGTCCCCCGCTCAGTGGGGGACGACGACTACCGCCGGACGCTATGGCTGCTTGGCTTTAACTTAGGCGCTACATCTCGTGCATGACAGCTGCTCTCGTTTTTTGCCTCATCTCGGTGTTACTGTCGCCGAGTGCGGGAAAGCTTCTCTGTTACATTTTGATACGGCTATAGGTGGTCGACCTTGAAACATGGGCCGGAAGTAAGCGGGTCCGATGCAAGCCTCAGATCTTCCATTTGATGTAGGTTGGGTGATGATGCTTTGAGCTTCATATTGATTGATTTATATAAACCCTTTTGGCACACTCTACCGGGAATAACACCTACCGGCCTCTTGTATCTCGGCGCGGAGCGCATCTCCGTTCTCCAACTCGGATCTCCGGTCGTGGTATCCACTCTCCGCGCCGTCATCGGGGGATGATATTCGGTTGATGTCCGAGCAAAAGGAATGAGATACCGACATTGGATGCCGGATTTGAGAGTCGGGATATGTTGTGATTATGAGCTTCCGAATAGTTCCAACTCAATCATTGCTTCTGGGTAAGCATATTTCCAACAAGTCTCAATACAGCTGTGTGTGTCTGATTCCGTTGTTCGAGTCGGATACGTACTTGTCCCGCGGGAATCATCAAAGTTCACGGGCCCTTCGACAGCAAAGGAATGAACAGGCATTTAAATACCTCATTCAGTCGAAACCAATGGTTGCTGTGGTAGCACCGAGATGCCCTTTCATTCTGTGGTGCTTATCAAGCTCAGGGTAGGAGACCAACTCATATTTCATCAAGTCTCGGAAACAAAACCGGAAACAGGTATGCCACAGTGGCTGGAAATAATCATGGATATCCCTTCCGTTTATCGCCCCGGAATCTCTTTCTCTATTCTAATATACATTCCTTGGGCATCGTCCACCCAGCAACACTGCAAACATCCTGCACCAGCTCAAACGTCAAAGATTTCACCAACGCCTTCGTTTCCTCCCCTTCTGTTCTCAACAATGTCCAACCTCCAACCTTCCCAATGCTTAAGTGATCTCTTAATCTCCTTGATGCGCTCGATCCGTCTCTTTGACTCCTCCTCTTGCGCCTTGCGGAATGCATCCTCGTCAAAGTCCATATCGTCGTCCTCAAGGAAATCATCATCATTACCACCGGCCAGAGCGTTGAGGCCACTCGTAAAGAAATCACCAATTCCTCCCCCAGGTCCTGATTTCCTGCGTTGGGTTGGAGACATCGCATGACCAGGAGAGAGGTCGACATCATGGAAGCCTGGACTAGTTGCCTCCAGTTCGCGGCGTTTCTCAATCCATGCTCCACTTCGAAGCTCATGCACTTCGCTCTCCAGCGCTCGGATCTTTCTCTCAAGCTTCTGGCGTTCCTCGTCCTCAAGTTCATCAACACCTTCATCATCTAATCCGCCGCCACCCTCCATGGACTTCCTGCTTCGGAGCTTTGCATTTTCGCTCTCAAGCTTCTCAACCTGTGCCCTCAACTCCGTGACATCGTGTTCCGCCTTCTCCTTCTCCTTCTTGATTGCCTGTAAGCGAGAATCTTGCTCCTTATGTAATGTAGTCAGGGTTGTCGCCTTCTTATCCAATGCCTCAACCTTCTTCTCCAGCTCATCACGAACGCTCTTCACCTCTTCGAGCTCATGCTCGAGAGTCTTGATCTTGGTCTCAGCACTTGTTCGTTCGCTGCCTTCGCGGACAGCCTTCTCAGCTGTCCTCTCGAGGTTATGCTTGAGGTCTTGTAGTTCACGCTGAGCCTTACCCGCCGCAGCTTCAGCACGAGCTAGTTTGTCCTCCAGAGCAGTAACCTGTTCCTTGTCGGACGATGATCCACTGGCGTGTCGTTCTGCCTGTGCTCTCAGTTTCGAGATTTCAATTTCCATAGACTCAATGGTTGCGGTCTTAGCCTCAAGCTCAGCTTTCAGATCTGCTGGAGGCGAGGCCACAGACATGGAAGGACGGTGGCCATGACCAGGTCCTCGCGATACCTGTTGTTGGAGCTGGGTGTTTTGACGTTGAAGCGAGGCGACCTGGCTCTTCTATGGAAGAGTTAGCGGATTGAGAGCGGTTGTGGTTGCATGCATTGTAGCCTACCAAACTATCCAAAAGCCCATCTTCTTGTCCACCTGCTTTTTCTGCATCTTCACCATCGGCCTCTCGTATGTCGGCCAATTCGTTTTCGGCCTTCTGCCATCGCTTCTCCGAGTCCGCTGCCTCTTTAGATAGACGTTTGTTCTCCTTTTCTAATTCTTCGATCCTGGCCATATGCTTTCTGTAGATATCTGGAGCAGTTTCGCCATCGGGACTGAAAGGGCTACCCGGCGCAGCACCTCCTGAGGCAATGGCGCCGGCACGAAATGAGGTAGATCTAAGTTTCGACTGTTGGGCGAGAGAGGGGGTAGCGGAAGCCGACGTCTCTTCGTCACTGCTGCTGTCCTCATCGCTATCGTCATCTTCATCGCTGCTCTCCTGGGTTTCCACTTTAAGCGGTTGCGCGGGTTCCTTAGCAGATGGCTTCTCTTGAGCCTTCTTCTTGGGTTCCTCGACGGCTTTCTCTTCGCTGGCTGGGGCAGCCTCAGCCTTTTCAGCGACGGGCTCGGGCGCGGGGGTTTCGGCTGGTTCTGGTTTTATTTGCTTTGCTGCTGGAGTGGCCTTCTTATTGTTCTTCTTCTTCAACTGCTCGACCTGTGTAGCAATGTTAGCGAAAGCAGCCAGGATAAGAAGGGAGGGGTAATCGAACACGCTTCTTGGCCGCAGCAATCTTCTCCTTGCGGGCCTTCTCTTCTGCGTCGGCCATGATGAGGTGTCAGTTGGCTTAAACGTATATGATTCAATCCTGTATGGGGTGTGTTGTCGTCCTTGTTGAGATGTGTCGTCTTGGCGCTAAATGCTAATGGAGATGTAGCTCCACGTTCAGGGACTCGATTCATTCAAGGGAGCTCCGTCATCACGTTGTAGCTTAGCTGGCCTGTGCTTGCACCGTGTGCACGTGCCTCACATCATTAATTAACACCGTATAGATGATCGTGTAAGTTACATCAACAAAACACATTTCCTAGCATTAGATCAATAGCACAATGATTTATTATGAGTATCAGGGATTCTGAAAAATGATTATACAGAGTCCTAATTCACTGAGCCTACATCATTCATCCACTAGTATACCGCACACTGGCTTACGGATGACAATCCATCGATGAGTCCAACAATGTTACACTTGCCTATCGCGAGCTGTGATCGACCCGAAAGATCAATCTTCTGAAATTTGGTTTGAAGGATTGAGGCTATCGATTTTCTATCAGCCAACAGATGCCATCAAATTCTGGACGCTTACTGTGCAATCCAAAGTTGGCAAGTAAGCTTCCAATGCCAGCAGATAGTAGGTACGTTGTTGATAACTGCCATATTGCATCAACTTTTCACATGCCCCATAAAGCAACTACCTAATCAAGGACGCAATATTCTGTATCTAGCCACCAAACTTGAACACTCACTTAAGGGCCGATCTCATAATCCACGATGAATTGGACCGAAGGCGCTCTCGCCCGCCATTCTCGTCGAAAAGGCTGGGATAAGGACGCTGCCCGACAAAAACAATACTTTGCTAAAGCCAGAGCGAGAAAGAATGCGCCGGCTACAAGAAATGGCCTTGATATTTCATCCTTCGTACCTGATTATATTCCACAGCCAACTTCACCTCAAGCTCGCCAGTCAAATTCCTCGACCCCGCGCCGGAAGCAAAGAATACCAAGAGGAAAGCTCATACATAGACAATACGAGACAGAAAGCTCACACAAGAAAAGAAACGGAAGAGGGAGAGAGTCAAATCTCGGAAATCAGGGGCCAGAAGTCGAGAGCTCTCTGACAAGTTCGCAAGACAAAGACAAGCAAGAGTTGGACATAGCATCCAAAAGACGCAGGCTATTGGAGAAGGCTGATTGGACCGGTGTCATTACTCAAAAACCTGTAACGGTTGACTTCTCCCAACAAAGGGATCGATTCACAAAGCTGCTTGCGAAACCAACCTCCAGGAGTGGCCACCGATCGATGTACAGTCCTGGCCCGAAGGATCAACTCAACAAGAGAACCTTAGGTCGACTTTCAGAGAACGACATTGAGATTAATATTGGAAGTCAGAATCTGCGATGGAGTAGGGATAACAACTCAGTACGAAGCTATGCCACACGACAAGATTTTATATCCCGTCTCGAAATCCTACAATCCCATGATACTACGAGCCAGGCGTCTCTATCCTCCTACCAGCAATCTCGTAGTATTCGTCATCATCGAGAGAGGCCACCAAGAGCCCACGACTTTCATGTATCTCAAACCCATGACGAACGAAGTCATCCACTCACGAGCATTTCAACGGCAGCACATTCCCCAGACCAGGAGGAATGGTTAGCAAGAGAAACTGATGAACCAAGATACGTTGTACAAACTCATGCGCCTATCATCCATCAGCCACAGCCAACTCGGCGACGACACCAGGTGATTGAAGCTAAATCTCCTGACTTGGATGAAGGTGCAAGTGTTGTAGCTG